AATTATGGATCTGAGCGAAACACTGGATTCCGGCGAAATCCACAAGGGCAAAGCCATTAATTAAAAAGAAGAAGAAGAGCTACCATTACTTGCGACCTATCTGGTACTGGTGGTTTTTTTGAGCATTAACATAAAAAAGAATCTCTATGTCATATGTCAATAGGACTGTTATCAAACAATGCACTTAATATAAAAATTTAAAAAAAAACGGATTTGTCAATAAATAATTTGAAAGCAGTACAAACCAACTTGTATTAATTTAGGAATATTATGAGGAATTTAGTATTTATGAAGAGTTTTATTAAGATTATTTATTAATTTACTAAAATAATAAGTTATATCAAGCGAAAATGTCATCAAGTGGCTCAGGAGAAACTGATACTACTCAAATCCCTGTAAAAGAAATATACCAGAAGTCTTTATCTTCATCAACGACTGAACCTCCCATTGAGCAATGGTCTTCGCTCTTCGAAATCGAAGTGCCAGATGCCCCAAAAATGGTCCTGTTCAAACAAGGCTTATACGAACCTGGCAGTGGAGAAATATGTGCCAAATACATTCCGCTATCAGACAGTAGCGTTTTCAGGCATGTATACTATGCTTACCCGGCTATTAAAGACCCTGGAATAGAAGAAGCTCTTCTGCAACCGGGTAACGTGGTCTTCAGTATATATCCAGTCTTAAATTGTTTTCTTTCTAGGTAAAAGGCTATGAATGGATGGTAGATAAAAGAATTTTGATTACTTTAAAAAGAGTATATCAATAATTCCAGTTTTAAATAAGAAAACCTCAATCTTCTCTTTGAGCTGACTTTTACCAGACTTTCTTCGCCACCTAAATATCATCATAATTGGGAATATAATTCCAAAAGTTGGAATTGCTAGAAATTAATATTTTAGAGTTGTATTTTTAAGGTAACATTATAAAGAAATGACTTTTGAGGTTATGAATTATTTTAAAGGGCGGCATGCTTTTAATTTCACAAACGAGGCTAAGGTTATAAATAATAAATTAAACTAGCTAAACTATTCGAAACAAAAAAATTTCAAACTATTTAAATTTTAAATTATTTTCATGAAACTAATAATGCTTCCTAAAAGGTCAGCTACGTTATTCTGAGACGCTCAATGTGCAATTGCGCTATCACGCACGCTATATTTCCTCCCTCTAGCAAATGGCAATAGAAAAGCATATGGCGCCAGAAAAAGATTATGTATTTGGGGTTGACCCCCAAAACTACACTTCTATTTTTAATTACATTGTGTATGTATGGGTTGGGATGTATTTTTAAATTGATATGAGGAAACTTTCTAGAGAGAAAAAAAGTATACGACCAGGATGGTCAAGAGCTATACTTAGATTTATGTCAGGAGATGAAAATTATTCCCGTCAGAAGTTTCTATCGCGGACTTCTTGAAAGAGACATAGACTTAAAGGTAAAAGTGATCTTATTAACATTTGAATCTATACTGATATTATAAAGCTTTGATTGTTTGTTTGCATTCAATAGGCTCAAAAACTACTAGAACGATTTAAAAAAAAACACCTACAGAACACTACATCACATACGGATGTCAGAAGTTATAAACAAGCGAAGTTGCAGGAAAACAACTAGGCTTAAATATATATATAACTAAGAGAAGTATTTCAGTCTATTGGCTGTAGCTATTACAATGGTTTGCTATTACCAGAAAACAGAGCTATAAAAGCCCATGAAAGCATGAACACAAAATCTTTTTATACATATATGCATGTACGCAGTGTGTTGAAAAGCTCAAAATTCTATGTTTTTTTTTCTATTAAACTCAAATAAGAACAAGACAAACTTATCGGGAAATAAAGAAAAGCTATAGGTATATAGCAATCTGTTATTCGTACTATGAACAATTCACTATAGTTAAAGAGCTCCCATAGATCAGTACATTCAATATATTCGTACAAACAAGCCGAACCTTTTGTGTCCGAGTCTCATTGTTTTATTTTTGGAAACAATGTGTAAAGACGAATTGATTTTCTTTTTATACCAGTACAGCTAATACTAGCCTTTCAATGACTCTAATACGACCAATCTTAAAATATACGAGTATCTATATTCTAGTTTTACGCCAGCAACGGCTCTACAGTGCTACTATACCCTGATTATTCTATCAGGCTGATTGGTACTAATTGGTCTGTTGAATCTTAGAACAGGGGGCATTCTAGTTAATAAATTTTGTTTAAATCGAATCGAAAACTTTTCTATTCTACTAAGTGACATACGATACAATTCCAGCTAAAATAGAATAGGAAAACCATTAAAAACTGTAGTTTCGTTCGGTTTCGATTCGATTTAAACAAAATTTCTTTCCGCTATACAAAGAAACCTGAATACCAAAACTTACTCACTCTTAACGCACGCACGCACGCACTCTTTTTTTCACTTTCTTGACATTAATAACTATTACTCACTGGTTTTATGGTTTCTAACATCACTTGCTGCCAATGCTTTCATTTAATAGTGAATGGTGTGTTGACCTCTCTCGGTTTCAGTATTCTATCTTACTTATATATCACATTCATCATTATCTTATTCAGCATTGTACCCTTTTTTCGGTTTGAAAACCTCTAAATAAAAGCTGTACCTGAAATTATTGATTTCGCCTTAAGACTTTCTGTATACACTCACCAACACATCTGCACCATAATTTTGTTACAGTATTATTCTGTGAATCCAGTTGGGGTACGAGCTATGACACTTTCCCTCGTTCGCAACACTGTTGTGAAACATTTGAACTTGACATCGAACTTTCTCAATGAGGACGCGTGCTACCATCTCGGCCAGCTGTTAGGGGAGAATATTGCACTGCAAGAATTGGTGCTCTCCGGCTGCAAGTAACTAAGTGTATATAATAACTAGAAAAACTGTATGACTACCCATAGCGGAAAGAACTCATTCAAATCGTTTTATTCCTCCTCTTTAGACATAGACTTGCATATAAACGATCTGGTATTAGCTCAAAAAACGATATGTAAACCAATTGACCACGGCTTCTGTGAATAGTTATGCTTAATGTAGATAGACTTCGACCAGTAATCTTGATCCAGATTTGCCATGGATATCAAATAGCTCTGTAAAAATAAAAATAAAACTCACTCTCTCATTTATAATATTTTTGTGGTTATTAATAGTTTTCCTACAAGTCACTTGTTGTTTAATAATCTGATGATAAATCTTTTGATTATGTTTATTACCAGCATAAAACCTTGGTGCCTCAAAAGACTGGTAGCACGTCTACCGGGAAGGAGTATGGACCTGTTAGACTTATCCAGGAATGACTTTGGCGACGAGGGTCTTATTTATCTCACCGATCAGATAACCAGAGGTGCTGTTATAAAAAGGTGAGTAAGGTATTAGTTTTTTTTTCGCGAAAAATATTCTTTGTAACATCAAGAGCACCAGAACGCTTTTATTGTTTATCTTAAAATATTTTATCTTAGCAACAGATTATGTGGAATATTTTTGTTCAATCATTCCGCTGACGTGTGCAATATCGTGTCTATATGTACACATTATATCGCTACCAGCAAACAAATGACGTACTATTTGTTTATTTTTCTCTTTCTTTATAATAACCACAAATATATCTAAAAAGTAAAGCCCCCAACACACAAAATACGCCAATACGATTTTATAGTTGTAGTTGAAATAAAGTTTCATGATTTTATCTTTGACAATAACGAGCTTCCGTACAAACTATGATTCCTTTTTTCACCATTTAACACAGTAAAAAATCAACATATGTTATAGTATTGAATAATTAAATGATTGGAGACGATTCTCTTTGTCGCTCATTATATTATATAATAATAGAATTCCTGACAATTACCGAAAAAAATAGGCTAAGAACAACATAAATCACGATTACTTGGTTGACTTTTAAACTCTCTGCTGTTTAAATTGAAACTCAAAGTTTAATTTGGTAATATATAATTAATGTGTCGTAGCCAACTGGGTAAAAGATCCGACCAATTAAGCGGCTAATCTTAATTGAAAACTGAAATGTACGCAATATTTTTTAAACAATTATTTAAGAATAAACACCATCTACTATCATCATCAGCGTTTTTACGGCCCCGATGCAAGAGCTCAGCCCTTTCTTGCAGATTGGTTAAGGAGGATAATTTTTTGGAACGGGATGGCTGCCGTGACCAACCTTCGCGAAAGTTGCATAAAAACGACCTGTCGCAGACTGCCGCGCTTTTCCACTACGCCACCGTGCTACTCATCAGTATAACAAAGCATAAAGTTCTTATTAAATTTTATTTGAAACTCAACCTTCACCAAAACAGTGCGATGTAGAAGTATATTTAACGCCATCTAGTTTCATATATAAAATGATTTGGAGTATTTTCAAAAATATTTGTTTAAAATGTTAATTTTATTGTCTTTATAAATAATATTAAATACATTTAATATAATGACAAATCAATCGTAAACAAAGGTTACATTTTGATTCCCCATAAAAACTTTCACTGCCATTTTCACCCCTTTACGTGTTATTTTTCGGGATAAAATATAACCTATTAACTTCCTAGGGTCTTTAACTACCCAAATACCATTATATTCATACCCATACCCATATATTCATCGCTGTAGGTCCAAAAACAAAGGAATTTCATGCCTTTTGATCTCCTTTTGACCCATTTCGGGATGAAATTTCCAAAAATCCGTTCTGAGTACACATCTTCGTATTAAAAGGAATGTTCCCTCCAAATTTCAAGTCTCTACGACCAGCGATTTAGGCAGTGTGTTGTCTGTCAGTCAGTAAGTCAGGACATTGTATATTTCAAGTTGGGGAAAAAGTTTTTTCGCATATAGAATGCATAAATTTGTAATATGATCTTTCTGGCCTTATACCATTTGTGTCTGGCTGGTCTCGGTATCATTAAAAAGTTTCAGTTTTAAAGAAGATAACTCTGAATTCAAAAAAGGAAAATCGTTTGTTTTTCTTATTGTCAAAATGAGTGAACCGAATGAAGAATATCGATACATTTCAAAAATTAATACAAAAAAAGTAAAAATGCAACGCAAGATGCGACAATCTAAATCGAGATCTAGTGCACATTCTGAGAGAGTAGCACAAATTTGGTTTAAGCATTTTAAGTCTGGAAATTTTGATATCAAAGATGCACGTCGCTCCGCTAGCCTTGTTACGGATAAAATGGATGCCATTTTTGAAAATATGGAGCAAGATCGGCATATCAGTAGTTACGAAGAACCAGGGATTGACCACAAAACAGTTTTGACGCGTTTGAAAAGAGCTGGGTACACAAAAAGTTGGATATTTGGGTATTTCTCGAGCTCACTGAAAGAATCGTAATGAACCGTATACTCATGTGTGATGAGTAATGAAACCAAACCATTGTTGAAGAAGAACTAGTGATGAAAAGTGGATCACGAACGACTAGAACGTGCGAAAAATGTCGTAGTCAAAAATCGGTCAGGCTTTACAGACTGTGGCGAAACCCAGGTTAACTCGCAACAAAGTGATACTGTGTGTATGTTGGAATTGGAAGGGCATTGTTCATTATGAGCTATTATGAGCGGGCAAGTAGGACCATCGATTCTGAACTGTACTGCAAACAACTGATAAGATTAAATCAAGAAGATGAGAAAAAGACCAGACCAGAATTAATCAATAGAAGGTGTGTGATTTTTCATCATGATAACGCTAGACCTCACACATCTTTTGCTACTCAGCAAAAATTAAAATAGGTTTGGCTGGGAGGTGTAAATGCATCCACCATATACTCCTGACGTTGTACCTTCAGATTTCCACTTGTTTCGGTCTCTTTAAAATTCTTTAGACAGTGTCAGGTTAACATAACACGAGGATTGCCAAAACCACTTGTCACGGTTTTTTGATCAGGAGCCCTAAAATTTCTATAGCAAAGGGAAATCTCTCCCTATGAAATAGCAAAAACATCTAAAACTAAATGGTACCCACATTCTTTAGTTAAATTTAAATAAACTTTATTAAAAAATATTTTGTAATGTCATATAAAATGCGAAGAAACTGTGTCCCCATACTACTTATAGTATGGGGACACAGTAACTAACATGATTGGATTTACAATAATCTATATCTTAATATAGATTATTGTAAATCCAATCATGTTAGTTACAAATTCACACAAGATATTTACGCTTCGAGTCTGTATATGAATGAATATTATCGAGTCTATAAATGAATATTTATAAGAAACTCAAATAATATTAAAAAGCATACAATAAATGGTACTCTATTTGCATAAAATGTGATAACATAATATAAAGTTGTGGTGGTCCAAGCCACGGCATGTTCAATTCGCTCGCTCGGTTCACTTATCTAACCCAACCTTTATAATTGATTGGTTCTTTCATCTTGAATAAAATTTTGCCAAAACCAATTCGCAAACTATTATAATGCTAAAAATAATTACGACAAAACGCCTATTCGAAAGTATATTAGGAATACAAATATAATACAAAAAGAACGTATCTCATAAAGATACATACATAAGCACTAAAGATTGCATACATTTTCGAACATGTACCTAATTATTTGCTATTAGGAGCCGTCCGCTAATCACGTGATGTTTTTTTCAGAATTTTATAACCCCGCCTCCCCCTTGGTGATACATTGTGAAGTTTAAGACTACCACCCAAATCACGTGTATTTTTAAAACCTACGAAAAAAAATTTTGACGCGATATGTTACTACGCCCCTCTCCCTCCCCCTTGTGATAATTCGTTATTTTTCACAAAGCCCTGTCTCCCCCTTTTCGAGCCTCACGTGATAAATGGACGGCCCCTTAATGGTTAGTTATCATAGGATTGTACAATGTTGTATTTAATATATGAACACCACAACACGTCGAGCATCGGAGAAGTTGTCAATATTCGCTCAAAGTTTTTTATACCTAAGGCTGCAGTCTCGACAAAGTTTACGATCGCAATGTGAGTAGATTCATTTGTTGCACATTCAACGAATATCAAAAATTTGACAGTTGCACTCGGTACATGCGTAACGAATAACAATATACTTAAGAGATTATAATCGATAGATTGCGATAGCTAAAAGTAAGCGACTGAATTCGGTGCGATTACAATCGCAAACTCTGTCGAGACTATAGCGCCTGGTGCATGATATTATACGCTTAATACAAAATTATGATTGCGAAGGTTACGTCTGAGCTACAATGACTTGGGCCCAGAGTCGGCGCTGGCGCTGTGTGCTGCTATAGAAGGAAACAACCAGTTTACACATCTTGATTTATCGTGGAACAAGCTGTTTCCGGCTAAAGGTTAGACATTCTTCTTATCTCATTTCAATTATAATACACAGCAGCGCGTCAGCAGGCAGATTCTACTATGTTTACGTAATAATCGCATCTCAATAGAATTTTAATGACTTTTAGGTAGAAAATACTGTGACGGGCTCGGTGCTTAGATGAATGAAAGGCTGACTAAGCTTGATAACTTGGTATATTTTATAGTGTACATAAAAAACTGTAACAAACAAAACGAATATAAAAAAGAGTTCGTATGGATTTCTAAAATTATAATAATAAAGTAGTTAGGTAAAAGAGTTACATACCCCTTCCTCGGGTTGCAGATACAAACAGAACTTTAGTAATACGTTATATTTTTTTACTAATTTATAATACGTGAAAATAACAGAACTACTAATAATCATTGTATTTTGATATATTCTAACACTTTTTTGTATTTATTTTGTCACTGGATAAATTTTCAGGAATTGACATTCAGAAAGAGAATATCGCTTTACACAAAAATTTCAAATTACAAAAAGTAGATAAAAAAATAGTATAAAATAAATTATGTTAAAGATCATAGATAAAAAGTTTGGATGCGGGAACCTAAGACAAAATAAACGGTGTGGTACGACGCAACGTTACAGTACATTTTAAAGTACATCAAGATGCGATTAGCTTCGCCGTAGCCAGTCCCAAGCCCGGTTGATAAAGAAAGAGGATCGAGAATGAGATGGCCGTGAAATAACCACATCAAAATGGTAGAAGGTATTGGGAACCCACTACGATTATATCCCAAGAGAACTCGATGAAAAAAGTGAACTGCAGAAAATTGTCTGGCCCCCGGCGCTCGATGATATCGGGGTCGTTGAGTGCGAAATATGGGACCGATGGCTGTTCGTGAGTGGGTCATCAGACTCTCGAGATGGCGAATGTTACTAAGGACAACTACAAATTAAGACCAAAATATAAAATTGGCACCTGGAATGGGAAAGGACTCTAAGACCAGAGAAACTACCAGTCGTAGAAAAGTTATCAAAATTCATCACGGGCCACAACACCATCAGCGACAGTATTATGACATAATGCTTAAAACATTACATTATTCTTGAAAATTTTTACTGTCTTGAGAAAGTCAGTCAAACAGGAGTCTGTCAAATTTCTCGAGTTCTTGTATTGACGACTCCTCTTACAACTGAACTACATTAGTTCGAATCTCGTTCAGCTAAAGTATATGTGTGCTATGTCATCATGAGCAACTTATTAGTGCTCCAACTACTACGACACAGGCTTTAGATTAAATCTTATTGGGAGAACAGGCCATGACTCATCAGGGCCCATTAGGGATTAATGGTGTTAGCGATCGCAGTTGCGGCCGAGACCAACGGCATAAACTACCTTGCGCACAGAGGAGCTCAAGATATACGAGATAGGAAAGATTTTGGTCACCCAACCTATAAATGGGCCCTTACGAAAACTGCTTAACTTCCGCATCGCAATCCGAGCACTTTTACCAAGGCACCGTCGAGCATTTACCTAATACGATTTTTAGAAGTATTTTTCTATAAGATAAAAATTTTGAACAATTACAATCCTAGAGTAAACACGACTACACGATCACTGAGATCAATAGAGTCCCCTAATTAGCGACACGACGACAACATTTAGTTTTTAGTCTAGCAACACTCTGTGTTGTGAATAGGTACCGGGGTTAATTAGTGGTTCATACTTCGCTAGTTTTTATGAATAGCCAGCGACCAGAGATAAAGTTTTATGCCTCCAGGAAAAATATAAATTCATGTTCTTTTTACATAAAAGTATACGAAAATACGTTTTGCTCGTAAAGCTCTCAAGGAAAAATTAAAAGCAATTTAAAATATGGAGGAAATTCTTGGTGTTATTACGCAAACTTTAACTAGCAATCGAATAATTTCGGTTTATAATAGTGTATTGCCCAACAAGAAGACGAAATAGGTTACAGAAAAAAGTTATCGTAAAGGCAAGATTATGATTAATAAGCTTTTTCTGAACAAGTTTTACTGAAAATTAAAATTAATGACCGTCTTTATCTAAATTCCGATCTACCAGCTGTTTACTTCAACAAACTAAAGATGGGGTTTTGTGTTTAGGCACACAGAACAGAAAAAAAGAGTAGGAGTAGCATGCTGGCTGTTTTGTATGAAAACCACCGTAATCAAACTCACACAATCAAAGATACTGTATACACGCACATAAATAATATCGTGCTGATTGCTCTTCGCAATTAATTTAAAAAATATATTATTTGAATTGGTGTGCATTAATCAATTCAAATTATTTTTTTTAACACAGATATTGTATTCAAATAAGATTTAGTATTCAGATATTCAAATTCATTTATTGACACAAATTGACATTCATTAGAGCTTAAATTCGTCATTAAACCTTAATGGACGTTTGTGAAACTGACTGATAATAAATAAAAAAATAATCAAAAGAAAAGACTAGTTTCCCATGCCTTTGTCAAAAGGGCATCTAGATCAACATTCATGAGTGATACTGACGCTTTTCAATGAAATCCTTCCCTCTTTTGACAACTATATTTCACAAATTAAATTGAACCATATGGGAAGGGATTATAAGTTTAAATTAACATAACTTGTACATCATCATCATCATCATGATAATTAATTAATTAACATAACTTGTACATGTAAATTAGTAAATAATAATGATGCCATTCGGACGTCACATAACTATTTAATTAAGACGATAAATTCCCTATCTACCTCATTGCGCCCTACAACGAGATAGATAGGATAGAAGATGACGAATTGTGAGGCAATAAAAGTTTTAAATTAATTACTCGCAAAAAAGTGCTGTATGATTCCTTCGATTTCAAAGAACATATTTATAAATTTTCTGTATAAAAAAGAATAAAATTACAACTAGCGATGTAAAAATTGTGAGTTTTAATGGTGACTTTTTACTTTCTTTTTTTCTCAATAAAATTTCATAAATACACGTTTTGTCTGTAATAATACCCTTGAAAATATAACGCCGTTGTCACATTTCAAATTTTACCTGATTTGTACTTGATATCTTTGTAAAAGACAGTTAAAAGTTAATAATTTTGGATGTATGAGGCCACTTAAACGTATAACAGTTTAAAAATTGCCACGCAGCCTTCAAACTGTCCTGTTTGACTAAAATCGAGTTCGCAAACGGCGAAATTAAATAATAAAATTGTCCAGCCGGACGCGGGACCGTTTCGAATCGTTTAGCAGTGCGAACTTTTGGAGGCTATTTGGCGCTGACGACCTCATAAATATTAAACAGGACACTAGCAGGGCGATTCTGTGAATTTCCGAATTCAAATTCACTCATGTATCCGAATTCAAGTAATTTGGTGAAGAAATTCTATTGATGATATATGATTATTATACGTGTTTCATATATTCTATGTCATTTCGTAACTCACTTCACTTGTGCCACGAAACGTTATTATCAATTCATGACTGAGAAGATGTCGCTTTTTTAAAGTGAATTGGGACACTTGAGTGAACTCGAATTCGGGTTTGGATCACAGAATCGCAGGGCAGTTCAAGTTACTTGCCGGTTGCTGCCACTGCTGCATTTATTTTGAACGTGTGTGATGTTCATACTCTTGTGAATTTAAACTGGTACCGAAATTTTCCCCCACTGTTTTCTGGTTGACAGAGATTCATTGCTTTTCATGTTTCATTTCGCATAGTGGATGTTTACACTCTGTTTCTACACTAATATATATAGTATGTCTTAAATATTGATGAACTATACGCCCTCGTCTTCGTTTTTATCATCTCTTTCTCGCTCTATAGGTTGCCTGGATGAAGCAGTAAGGTCGAGAATTGTTAAGCAATCTAATATAAGATTTTTGTTTAGCCAAGTCATAATACAACTTGTTTCTTTTATTTTTAGTTCGGTTTTAGCAGTCGTAGTTTTTTTTTTGTTCTAAATTATTATATATTTTATCAATTTTGCATTCGCAATGCTATTACTGGAAAATATTCTAAATGAAAAATTGCTTAGATCAATTCACCACCCCCAAGTACTCTGAGATGGGACTCGAACCCACGACCTTTCGCACTGAGAACCACTGAGCTACCCAGGACCTAACAGGATTGATGAATTTTTCTAGTACTTGTTACTTTTTGCTACGAGTGAGCGTATTTTCGTCAATGTTCAGGCAATCCATTAAACAGCTGAAAGAAATATTTTAAACTTTCAGACAGCTGTTAGTTCTACATTATTTTTCATTTAATAATGGACTATTTCTTTATAAAATAAAAAAATCGGTCAAGTGCGAGTCGGACTCACACACTAACCGTTCCGTGCCATTATCCATTAAAAAAAGTAAAAACAAATCACCTTCGTTGTTTTCTATGGAGTTTAAATGTGTAAAGTCAACTTAACTGTGATAGTTTTCCTTTTAACTTCGTTATATTCGTATATAGGTAATACCATATTTGAACCAACGATCCTCTAGTTTGTAGAAGAGCGGATCCTTAAGTCTAATGAAAATTAGCTCTTTAAACCGCAACAAGTCACAAACGGTTTACTAAATCAAAAAACGGCATTCCCACACCCCCAATATATTTGAAAGAACTATCACACTAAGGGTAAGGCGAAAAACATATTATCATCCCCATTTTACTGTAAGGGAGGCACTCAAAAAAATTTTTTTTTTCGAAATTTTACTTCACCTCTTTGTCGGCGGAATTAACGTGTATACTCATGCCAAATTACAACTTTCTAGTACCGATAATTTTTGAACTGAACCGCTGACGGATGGATGGACGGACGGACAGACGGTCATAACGAAACTATAAGGGTTCCTTGTTTACTACGGAACCCTAAAAACGGTAGTCAACTAGGCTAACAAGCTAATTTGTGTTGTTGACAAAACATTTAAACAATTATGATTTACAGGTATAGGTGATCTCCTTCGTATGCTCGGTGAAAACACTGTTCTTGTAGAGCTGAACTTATCTTGGAACGGCCTGACTGTTGCCCAGCCATTGAGGAAGGTCATGACTATACCCACCCTCAAAGTGTTGGATCTTAGCAACAACAGGTATCTGTACTTATAAAACACTTTATTTCTTTTATACATAAATAGGTTTTTATCATCATCCAGATTTGATTCACAAATTGAAATACGCTTGATGATTAACTTTTGTTTATACAACTTATTATGACATTTTATACACGTATTTATTTTCGTAATCAATAAATTACGACAATACATTGATTTGAAATGTCACATGACATCACACGTTGGTACATTCTCTACATAATTGTGACGTAGCGACCCCCACTCTTCAACTTTAATGCCTATTGTCTGAGACGTTTCTTGTTAAATTCCAACAACAAAAAAAAGTATCCTATATTATTATTTTTTCTGACCGACGGATTAAATAAAGTTTCTTTTTTACCCAGGCATCATCCGTATTAGAAAGTGGTAACATATTACGTTTACAACGTAATGTTCCGATTCTGTACAAATCTCATTTGAATGTATCGTTCCAAATACGGTCCAACTTTTGCCCAGATGTTTTGTGAATATTTATTGTTGTACGGATTCGTGTGAAACGTTCAATTGTGCTGTGAATACTTTAAATGTTACACTAATGTGAATTAAGACAAGGATAATGAACAATCTCAAGTTCAAAGTATCTTAATTAAAAACACAATATTTACATTATAAATATTAAACAACATAGCATGCATTGCTCAGATTCCAAGATTCTACATTGCGCCACTGAGTATAGATAGATAGATAAATGTTTTATTTCTTGCCAAAATACACACACGAATTATATTTCATTCAACAGAAAAATAAATAATTAAGGATGTAGATGAGACAAATGAACTTGAAAAAAAATGTGTGTGCGTCACATCAGTACACAGTGGTCCCAGCTCAGAGTCGAGTATTCAAGCACATATAATGCGAGCAAATCGCTGATTTTCAGCCGCAACCAAGAGTGAACGCAAACACGGTACTAAAACTAACCAGGATTTAATTTCAATGTAAAATCAGTTTATATTTTATAGATAGAAAATAAATAATATAAATAGAAAAATATAAAATTGATTAGTAAATATTTTTTGAATAATAATTACCTAACATTTTCATTATAAAATTTAAATCAAATTATTATATTATTAAAATCAAGTTAAATAATATAATTTGTTATTTTGATTAATAAACAATACATTTAAATCAGATATGTATATTGTAACATTGAATAAGTTAATAACAAAAAAAAAAACACGTTTCCGCTACCTGTCAGTGTTGGAACACCAAATTTTTGTTTATCTAGCAGATGTGACTTTAATAATTTTTTAAAACAATATTTTTTTTCACCAACCTTAGTGGCGGTGGGATATTATTCCAACAATTAGTTGCGTGTAGCGAAAACTGCCAGTAAATGCCACAGTGCTGTGATGGTGAAATATGAGAGGTGGACTTATTGATCTCGATGCGTAATCTCGCGATCTGTTTGAGATACAAAAATTCAATTTTGAGAAGAGGTAATAGAGGACTTTGAATTTTACTATATCGAATAAAAGCGATGCCAGATGTAAATGTCGACGTGATTCCATATTCAATATTGATTCATTATTAAGAAATGGAGAAACATGAGAATGTGGTGGTACGTTAAAACAGAATCTAAAGCAGTATAAATATAATCGCTTATAGACTTAGTCTATAATGTCGCCGCAGCTGAGGCGTCTGTTGTCTACTCTCGCCTCGCTCTGCTGGGCAAACGATTACAATAGGGATGATGACTGGGTAAAAAAAATGCAATTCTATTTAGTCTGTCAGTCAGATAATAGAAAAATATTAGATACGTATTTTTTTTTACTTCAATTTAACAAGAAATAGCTTAGTTAACAAGCATTAAAATTGAGGAGTGGGGGCTCGCTACGTCACAGTTGAGTAGAAAACGTACTCTAACGTGACGTCATGCGAAATTTCAACTCAATGTAACGCCGTAATTTTATTATTACGAAAAAAAATAAAAAATACGTGTTTAATATTTTTTAACACTCTACCTGACGGACACACAAACAAAAATTTGTCATCATCCCTATTCTCATGCTATTTCTGAAAATGTGATATTTGCCTCGGAACGGGACCGTCCCGTTTTTTGGTTGTCTGACTCGTTATCCTTAAATGTAACACGCATAAATATCTCGTTTTAAGAACGGTGAATAAATATTATATTGGACGCACGCTGTTCGTAACTTCCCAAGGAAGAAAGAAGGAAAAGCAAAATGCGACATTCATTTGTTTTCCAACTACTTGGTTGGGATTATTTGAAACATTCACATCATAACATCAGCCTCGTAATAAAGTAAAGAATACTAGACACATATATACTATAGACACATGACTTTACGAAATGAACCATAAATTAGATTCAATTGGTACAGACGGCGAGATGTCTGGAGCGTATCCTTCCTAATAAAGCGAATCTTTGCTTCAACTACGCTTAACTCACGTAAATAGCCCTTTATAAATATAAACAGCATGAAATCGTACGACGAAAAGAACGGAAATAAAATGATTTTATTTTCAGAACAAAAGTATTTTTTTCTAGATAATATTCAACAAAGTATCTCGCCGTAATCTCGAAATCTCTCATTGAGGAGAAGTTTAAGCTTCTACTGTTTGCCATACAAACGGCTTTACGGCGGACGCCTAGAAACTATTTACGTTCCAGATGTTTTCCGCAAATAATAGGAAAATAGTTTGGGTTTTCCCACTTTTTGCTGGTCATATGGATTGCTAAAACATTATATCTATTATTCTTTAGATTCCATACTTGCTATATTTGATCTAATTATTATATTTGCTAATTTTGCGTTTAAAATGCACTGTAAATTTGAAACAACAATAACAATTTTTTTAAGGCTGACACCAGCATCAGTTCGAGTCATATGTGCAAGTCTCCGGTTGGCAAAAAAGCTTGTGACACTGGACCTATCCAACAATCCCCTTACAACGAATGACGCTGTGCTTTTATTGGAGGTTATGAAGGAGACCACTGTAAAGTTGAAGAATTTGTTCATGGATAATGTCACTGTGAATAAGGAGTTCGCTATGGTTTGAAAATAATCTGTACTGTACTTTGTTTAATAGACTGAAAGAATGTTTTAACTTATAACATGATTTGTATGAGACCTCAAAATATAATACATATACAATAAGTATTACAGAAGGCCTATTCTGTTTCTCCCAAAAACGCAATTTCGTCTATTTTTGAAACGCTAGTATCCTATCCATGTAAAGAAACATTTTGTCGGTAATTTTCTGACACTGCCTCTGATACACAGTAATCTTCACGGATTTGAAATAAACATCATATTTTAACAAATTAGTATTATAACGCCACCTGTGATTATTTTATGAATGAAATGGTTGAATAAAGACATCAAACTAATATCAATATCAATCTCTTTCTGAATTACAACATAAGATTAACAACCTATATATAAACCTCTTCAGTGCGTATCAAAGTCAATCTGCTTAGTGCAATAAACATTTAATATTTTTATTCACACGATAACCATTTTTTAGATGCTACCAGAAGTTCTATCAATGGAACATAGGAAGAAGACCACCATTACTTACGGAAAAGTTATTCACAACTATACTCTATCGGTGCCTGATCTGCGGGAAATTGTTATGAAGAGACTCTTCTACATAACCGACTCCGCTAAGAAATGCACTATGGATATGCCGTTAGTTGTTTATTTCTATAACAGCCTCTGTTTTAATTAGGCCTCAGTATACGACATGTACAATCATGTTGTTCCGGTTTGGAACATAGCTTTTAGTATTTTTTGATAACGCAAGCCTTCCAACCAAGGCTCCCCAACGTTCTTGAAAGTGTTTTTGACGTGCAGTTGACCTACATAGTAAAACTCGCTGAGGACTTCCCTCGGTGAGGGGAGGAGGATCCAGGATTCACCAATTAGTCCACCGGATCCTGTACCAAAAGGCCTACCGTGTAACTACATTCTTTGATTTAGCTGACCTAGCATTAAATTGAAATAAAACGTACAGAAGATTGAATGCATTGAGTAACTAACGGTACTACTGTATTGTTACAGTAACGGTGTAACAATAACGGTGCTACTGTCTAACAATACTGCTGTATTTCAAAGTGCATTTTGATAAAATCCAATGCCAACTGAATCTTAGCCAATGTTTCAATGCAATGGGTCTACAATCTATTTTCTTCATTATACCTGAAATCTATGCACAACTCTAATCACTTATTCACACCGTAGAAGACAGCTCCAACTGGCAGAATATAATCCACAAGGAATCCATATAGAGATCGTGACCCTTGGCGTTTTGGATTTCGACTCAAGGAGGTGGAATCACTTTACTTTTGCCTAAACTAGTTTCTTAATAACCTTAACTTTATTGGTCATGTACGCAGGCTCATCTTAAGCTCAACAGGCGCCAGGGTGCAAGTAGTGCTCTGGCGTCACCCAGCCCACTTTTTACACATTTTTGTATCAGAGACCATAATCGGCGCGGGGCCCCCAACGCGCGGCGCCAGGGTGTATTGCATCCCCTGCACCATGGGCAAAGACGGGTTTGCATGTACATTAACACAAAATCATAACATCAAGGCAAATGCTGACTACGGATTAACCAAATTAGGACTTTACCAGCCTTTGCTGGCAAAATATATATATTAATAACACATTACATAAACTTATATTCCAGAGTTTATTTTCTGAAAATGGTAAAAATACGTGAGGTGCTACAGCCAAGGGAGTTCATGCGTGATCTGAAAATATCCGGGGCTGCCTTAGATGAAGGTCTGGTGGACGAGCTAGCCAACTGTTTCCCGGGACCGAAGACCGATAAAGGCGGGAAGACGATCAGTCTAGCTAGTAAGTCAACATCAAAATATTATAAATATGTGATCAATTTTATATTCACAGTGCCATTATCATCATTAGGTCCCTAGTGCAGGGGCTCAGGCGATTCTTATGGATGCTAACTGATCAATATTTTTATGGAAAGTGCTAAAAACTCCACAACATAGAACTCGTTAAATATATTTAAATAATCCGCAGAAATTAACAGATTTTCATCTTATTCGAAAGTTTCAAATATTTCTTTTCGTCTGTTTGGGAGCATTACCTGAACATTGAAGAAAATAAGCTCATTATTGGCGAAAAATAAAAGTTGGTTCGATTTCTCTCTTGGAGTACCTGGGGCTGGTGGATTTTTCGTTAAAAATATAAAATGTTAGTTTCATTAAATATTTCACAAACATAAAAAGTCAGAGTTTTTATAAAGTCTATTCGCCATATTCTATCCATAGGAAAAATACCTTAGTAATGGAGAAATTAATGAGATAATTTTAAAGATTACAAGCAAAGATCAGACAAATGCACTACTCTGTTTCTTGTAAAACAAAATTTGGCCTATTTTTGAAACGCTAATATTTTTGTCTGTTTTTAATTTTTCGAAATTTTATTATGTAAAGGTATAGGAACTGACACTTCGTCTGATGCATAGATATTCTTCACGCAAATTACTCGTATTTTAGCAAAAACTTTAGGAACAATTCAAATACACGACCACTTATTAGTAACCTTATTAATGTAATTTGAACATTTTATAAGGTAAGCACATCATTTGGCCAACTCAAATTTGCGTCACTGAAACATGGTTAAATGATAATTTCAATAATCCGAAACACTTTGATAGCCGGTATGAAGTATTTAGATGCGATCGAACTGCTTCATAGTATAACCGAGGCGGTGTGATGTAATAATAGCCGTGCACTGAAACTTGGGCTCGTGGCAGCGCATTGACATACGCGAATCACCGTCGGCCGAAGAAGTATGGGTGTCGATGCTGCTGTGCACGAGCATCCCTACTAACACCAACACCGCGTCCTCAGTTTTCGGCACTTACGTATTAATTGTACCAACTTAGCGCACGGTAGCAATCATGAGTCATTACTAAGATCTTTTTACGACAGAGTGAGCGATTTTTATATTATCGAACTCTGAAGATTTTTTTTGATTCTGGGTGACTTCAATGTAACACATGCACATTGAGTAAATAATGGATATTTTATGGAACATACATATAAAATTATTTTGCCATTTAACTGATGATTTAATGAACTTAACTGCCTTTTTTTATAATATAACTCGTAACTTAATCAAAACGGTAGGCTTTTAGATTAAATTTCGTTGTTGTAGTCCTAAGATTGTTACTTCTTATGAACGTCCATTGATACCCGAGGATTCACATCATAAATTGTTAATTATAAGTATTCCCAACAACTTCTTTTTGATGTCATGGATAATTATATACCAAAGGTCAATTCAAATCTAAAGAAAAAATATCCAGCTTGGTATACCACTCCGCTAATCAAGTAAAAAAAAGAAAAAAATAAATATTATAAAAAATGGAAATGATTTGGAAACAGTCCAGCTAAAATAGGAACAAGGAACAGATTCTATCAACCAGCCCCGAAATTTTCGACGTGAAATTTAATCAATATTTTCATTCTGGCTTTGTTAAATTAAATAAACACCACGTGAACCACTTAGAATATTGTAAACAATTCACTCACAAGACATAAACATAATTCATGTCATAAAATAATTAAAAATGATAAAAGTCGTCAAAGAAGGGTTCAGATTACATTCACCCCGTCTTAATTCATAACTGTGTGGATGAATTTGCTATTTCTATTACAATCATTTTTCAGTCTTCATTGGGGACTGGTGTATTTCCAAGAAAATGTAAATCTGCGTTATTGACCCCATACCATAAAATAACTAGAATCATCTTATATCAAAATATCGACCAATCTCTCAATTATTTGTACTCAGTAAAATCCTCGAGAAAATGGTTACAGCTGCTATTGCAGCAACAGCTCGCAGCTTTATCTCTCCACAACATATTGGGTTATATAGGTACAGAATCTTTGACACTAACATGTTAACTATTGCAGAGTTACTCACACAGACAATAGATTGTAATTTACAAGTGGACGTCGTATACACAAACTTCTCAAAGGCTTTTGATAAAATCAGCCACCTTATACTTATCACTAAGTTTATGACGGCCGATGTGCATGGCAGTCTTCTAAGATGGATCCGATCCCACATTAAAAATAGAAGTCTGGCATTTTGCATCAAAGGATACTGTTTACAACTTCTTCTCGTATCATCAAGCATTCCTCAGGGCTCGCACTTAGGCCCTCTCCTATTTTTGTTTTATATTAACGATATCGGCGAAATCTTTAACAATAGCCACGATCTCTTATATGCAGACGATACCAAATTGCATAGAATAGTGAAATTCTCAACGATTGTATTAAGTTGTCAGCTAACATTAACACTCTACAAAATCAACTATTTCTTAATATAAATAAATGTCATATTATATTGTATACTCACAATAAGAATCCAATTAACTTTAACTACTCAATTAATAAGAATATTCTCAATAGTGTAACTAAAATTGGAGACTTTGGCATTATGATGCAGGACTTTCTTTTAATTACCATATAGATCATAACGTTAGTAGTTCACTTCGGATATAAGGGTTTGTTTTTAGAATGAGTAAACCATTTAAACATCCTAACACTCTGAAGGTTTTTTACTTTTCACACGTTCGTTCTGTTCTTGATTTTATAGCACCATCTGGAATGCCTGTTACGATATCCACATTGATAAAGAAAAGTCAAATAATCTTTATTCGAATAGACTTCTAAAAAGTACTTTTGAATTGTCCAAAATTTTTTTTCCCTATCACTCGTTCAGGACTTCCTTTCGCTGATAAGAAGAAATAGCGAGAAACTCGCCAACTCTAATGGGAGTAATGACATTCACAATAAACCATGTCATTACCAGATCAATACATTATAAATAAAGAAAAAGTTACCTCATAATTATAAGATAATAATTTATTAATAATAGCAACGAGATCATTTTTGAGATACTTATAATGACTTTAGAAGAAATCATATATTCAGCTGTTGGACCATCGTAAGTCCAAGCATTCTTATCTATTATATAATCGGATAGCTTAGTAACCTTTTTCTTTAAGTATTTTTAAATAGTAGATTTAAACTGCATGATATCTAATTATTGTATTTTGCTTGGAACCTTATTGTAGAAGCGCACACAAAGACTCCCGAATAATTTATAAACATTTTGCAGTCTAGTGAGGGGAACCGTTAATTTATGTTTATTTCTTGTATTAAAATGATGTACATCACTTCTTATAGAAAACAAACTTATAATTTTTCGAACGTACTTTATTTTTTCTTATATGTATTGAAAAACTACAGTCATTATGTCTATTTCTTTAAATTTCTACCTTAAAGAGTCTCTAATCCTAAAATAATAATTTGATCCGGTGATATACTGGAAAGGATCCAAAAGTAATTTATAAAGTCACTCAATTACCGCAACAACATCAACAATAACTATGATGAGAAAATTATAATTTGCTTACTCTACGCAAGCATCGTAAATGCTTGATTTAATGCAGGGGACCACGCGGACGAAGCCGCAGGCGGAAAGCTAGTAATATAAGAGGTAAAATTTCGAACTTTATAGATTGTGTTCTTCGGAAATACTGATCTGATTATGAAAATTTCTTCACCTGCGGGACGCTAAGCGGGTGGTTATAGGCTATAATTTACGCATGCAAAGTCACGAATAACAGCTAATAACTATATTAAAGCTACAGTTACGCTTGACAATCGTATAATTCTGAGGCAAATATAATTTCCATTACTTTTTCAGAGGTGGTAGAGTTTGTGCATCGGTTGTGGCCAGACGCGAAGGCCCCGGTCACCCCGCCACCGGAGCCGGAAAAACCGAAAAAGAAAAAGAAGGGTAAGAAAAAGTGAAGACAACGTAAATTTTAGTTTTACTTAATTTATGAACATTTACTGTAGTTGTGTAATAAATATTTTTATTTGTAAAAAAAAAAGATTTTTATTTCGTGATTAAGGTTACTGATAAGCGCCACGGCCCGCGATCGTTGTCGTTAAGCAACTTTCGCAAGGGTCGGTCACGGGATGGGTGACCAAAAAATTTTTATCTCGAGCTACTCCGTGCTTCGGAAGGCACATTAAGCCGTTGGTCCCGGCTGCATTTGCAGTCGTTAATACCCTCCAAATCCGCATTGGGCCAGCGTGGAGGGGCATGGCCCATCCTCCTTAACCATCCTTAAGGAAGGCCTGAGCCCCTGCAGTGGGGACATAAAAGGGCTGATCGTGATGACGATGATTTAGGTACTACAGTAATTGTATTATAATTTTACGTTCGAAGCTTCCATTTCTAATTATTTGGAAAGCTACTTAGGATTGCTTAAAGATACTATTTTGTTTTGTTAGTTATAAATTACTAGATTATTCTCGCAACTTCGCCCTCCTATGTCAAACGCGTACGATGTAGCTTTCCGTATTCCGGAGCATATTTAAACAACGATATTTTATTTTAAATATTGGCATTATGGGTGACCAAAAAAAATATTATCTCGAGCTACTCAGTGCTTCAGAAGGCACGTTAAGCCTTTGGTCCCGGCTGCATGTGCAGTCGTTAATACCCTCCAATCGGCATTGGGCCAGCGTGAATAGTCATGGCCCATTCTCCTTAACCATCCATAAGGAAGGCCTGAGACCCTGCAGTGGGAACGTAAAAGGGCTGGTGATGATGATGATGATGATTGGTATATATTAAAATAGAAGAACACATATCAAGCTTTCGTATTACTTTTACATTTCACTCTACACTTCTTCTATTTGTAGTCAATTCATTTCATTTGTAACTTAAGGGGATTACTCAGTGAATTTTTTACCCCTATAAAAAAGGAACTGTAGTAACAGTCGTTTCGCGTAAATATTTCCTAGAAACTGCTACAGATTAAAGTGTTGTAAATAACTCTGAGTTACTGCAGAAAGCTTATCCTTTAACAAAAGTGCGCTTACAAGGAAGCATTGAGGGAATAGAAAATGTTCCTATGGGGACACTACTTTAAACTTTTTAAGTGTTCTTAAACAACTGTAGTGCATTATCATGATGTTTAAGCTGATATATGAGTATATAATTACATTGGTACATGATGCATATTTTTAAGAAATAATTGCGAAAATTTTGCATCAAAAATGGGGTTAAATAATCACTTTCGTTGTATGGGAGCCCTTTAAATATTTATTTTATTCGATTTTTTGGTATTTATTCTATGATATTATCACGGTTCATGAAATACAAACGGACGGACGTACAGCGATGTCTTAGTTATAATTAGAGTCCTGATTTACCCTTTCGAACCCTACGGAAAGAAAAAAGTGGATTGGTAAAACCTTGTAGACTCTTTATAACCTGTTATTCTCACATTCCAATAATAAATTAGTTATCATAGGCGTAGCAGGTACATAGTTTCATGAAACAATGCCTGCTGCGGTCGCAAACAGACCAACCCAATTCACTGTACCGTTGATACAAAGCAAACTGTACGAAAATGGCGAACATTTCAGCCAGAAATTGATGCACATGACACAGACAACCGTGACACGTGGTGAAAACATGACGCAGTATTGTATAAATTTAAAATTTTTGAAATACTAACACCCGGCTTCTGAATTGAGAATCTAAAGTTAAGCACGTTTCTGATTATTTTTTTTTTTTTAATGATCAGTTGATAGCAGTTTGATAAAACTAGAACATTTTGCCTTGTGTAACGTAAATAAAAACTTTTCTCATTCAGAAACCGACGGTTAGTATTGAATTAACACCCTCGCAACGTTGGTCTCGAGTATCCAAACTCAGAATGATTTACATCTGTCTGTCTGTCTGAAGTCGGCAAAAACCGACTGGCGACAAAAGGTGGAGTCTTACACAACGAACATTCCGTACAAATACGAAATTTTATAAATCCTCTGACATTTACTTGTAGGTAACCTGTAGGTTCTATATTATCTCTATTTGAAGACAGATTCCCGGTCGGGTCCATGTCGAAAATGGACCTTTCTATATTGTCTCAAGTCTGGGTGTTGTGGTACCTTCGTTACCTCGGATACTCCATAATAATCCTATAATAAATAAAATTCGTACTGGACGCTAAAGTACTGTTATACACACAATGTTTATTATATATGCTAGTGTCAGTGACGCAATATGATACATACATATTAACGTAACAAAAAAAATATAAAAACAAGTTAAATAAATAACATTATTTTATGTTATTATAATAACATTATATACCTACTCTTATGTATCTCATTTGAAATCGGATTCATTTTCTATTAATAAAAGTTAACAACACGTAACTCATTTCTCATTGGTCACAAAAAATCGTGCAATGCCCTTATTCATTGCCCTCTTACAATATCTAAACGTTGCACACACAACAAACAGCGACGATGTTAATTACCACACCTTTAAAATACGGAAACCTCATTAAGACACGTGCTAACACAAAGGGTTTAGGAATAACATAAAACGGTAATTTTCGCTTATTCATTAGCGTTATTAAAACGGGCGATAATGACGAAACCTGTCGGATTAACGCGAAATATATACGCGATTACAGGTTGCTTACTAGTGGAATACATTGTATCATCTATACATATAACATATACCATGTACAAGAACATATTGAGAAGTGGTTTAGAATTAGTCTTGTAGAATATAAACTTGTCTACACATGTGTACCTTAACAAAATTAAATTATTGAATAATATATTTCAACATAGGTGTACGACATGTGACAAAGTTCTTTCAAATAATAATACAGAATATTGAATTTTAAATATTCTGTCATCTTAATATTAAGGACTTTAAGCTAAGTCTCGCTAGCTAAACGTATTGCTTGCTGCCCTAGCTTGGAAAACTCCTGAGTCCTTGATGTTTCCCTAGAAATTGAATTGAATCTATTATATATATAGAAAATATGATTCATAATATTTCGTACATTACCGCTCCAAGTATTCTACATGATACGTAAGTCGTATTTTACAAAATACCTGGATAATAGATATTACTGGTCGCAAATACGATATTAAGGTCCTCTTGTACCTTCGCTTACGTTCCATTAACCTCAGCAAAATACATAAAAAAACATTTATCATTTAAGATTATAAGAGAACCTTTGTTTATTTTCTTTATAGTAAAGATGAAATATTAGTCGTAAAATAAGTCAATTATTAAAATTAAATTTTCTGTTTTTTTTTGTAATTAATCGACCATAATATATTTAATTTTCATATAATGATTTTTATTTCGCAAATATGAGCATAGCCTTAAAATAAAGTTGATTTTATAAGTGGTAATTTCGTAATATCTCGCCTTAATTACTAAGCGTAGGTAGGTTAGTGTACAATATTTTTGGTCGGTGACAGACTTTGATAAAACATTCTTTCACCTAATTTGAATATTTAATCTTACCTTACAAGAAAACGTATTTGTTAAACCGGTGCCTTTGATAATTTCCCAAGTTCCTACTTAGGACAAATTTTATTAATATCTATATCTTAACCTATATCTTTACCAAATTATGAAGAGATAAAGTTTCTATGTTTGTTTTTTGTAGGGGGTAATTTTTGGAGACACTGATCGGATCGTGAAAATGTTTAGACCTACGGAAAGCTACATCGTACACAGGTGGCTTTAATTTACAAGTTCGAAGTAGTAATATGCAATATATAAACAGCTAATAGAGACAGCTAATAGAGTGACAAGACATAATGTTTATATAGCTAATATAAACATTATCAGCCAGTTGCACAAACGTTCATTAAAAAATTTAATAGTTTAAAGTGACATTTGCTCAGTTGCACAAATGTCCATTATGATTTAATGAAGTCTTTAAGCTTTAATGGATGTCAAATTTGTTTGTTTAATGTCGTTTTAAACTAATGTAAATTGTAATGGACTTTTGTGCAACTAGCTGATTAAAAGGCGCCATTAAACCTTAATGAATCTGGTCAACTGATCGTATGTCTTGTCACTCTGTTCATAAGCTATCTGAAATTGTGTCGTAGTATGCTGCCTATGCTACTAGAATTGTATTAGGTAATCAAGCTCATCATTTAATACTCAAATCTCAAGTCGATCAATTAACAGTAAAGTAGGTATATTTTAATTTAGGATTTCACTCACCAAGTTAAGTTAACAGTGGGTCGGTGTACATCTATCTTAAGGAAGATTAAAAGAGTCAGGTTTTTAATTATTGAAGATGGCAATGCTATAAGCTTAATTTACACGAGCGATGTCGCCGAACAATATCTAGTATAATATATCATTCAACCTTGTACACTCGACGCCTTTAGTATTCTTAAACACTGGATTGAAATCAGAGCTAGAATGTTTCAATTTTAAACATTTTTAATAATACAAACAAATTTTTAAATAAATACACGAGCACTGATGAAAGAAATAGGTATATATCTGAATACCTACTTCACATAAAACTAAAATGTAAACATTTCCAAGGAAGTCTTTAAAAAAGACATCAGCGTCGTCGCTTAACACATTAATACGTCTTCATGGAGTAAATAAATCAAGTCAAGAAACAATATGGCGCTGCGATGGCTTGAGGAATCATAAAAACGCCATTACGAGGCGGTTAACGCATTCTGAGCTCAGGGGATGTTTGATGTTGACGACTTACTGGGATATAATGTTTCAAGGGACTACGGTGGATATGGAGGTAGCTAAAATATAGATCAAAGAGTTATCTGTACTATCGTAATATTACAAATAGGAAGAAGTTGATTATTCGTTTGTATGTTAGCATTGCATAGACTCGAAAAACAACTGGACTGATTTTTCGAAAAAATGCCTAATACGCGGGTCGCAGTTACGTGCGAAACAGCGCTGACAAGGACGCAGCTATTATGTTGAGCTGTTATTAGCTCGACATAGAGCGAGACAAAGCACATGCGAAACATTACCACATACAACTGACAAATTTCATTGTTATTTCGATTTCGCATGCGATTGCGTCGCTAGTAATAGGGTACCGACTTGGTACAAGTTTTG